AGTAATGTTTGAATATCACTTGTAAATATAATGATGGGACATGTCTCCCCTCCGCACAACTACGCAAATATTGTGGGACGGAGGGAGTACAAGTATACAATGAACCCATTTTGATATTTGTATTTCCAAATAGTGATAATAATTTGTGATATGTATTGTGTGTTTTAATGTATTGTGTTTGGAATTTGCGTGGGTTCGATGACATTGTCACGTTTTGTAATGTGAACAGTTTCTTCCAATAGGATGTCCTTCCTTTCAGCTCGACACGTGTCGTGCAAATTCGACATAGCATGGAACATGTAAAACATCTTGAAAATACTATTGGAGTCCCCTCGAATCCAGGAAGAAATGGAATTTGCACGACTTGGGTCGTGCAGAAAGCCGTGTAACCGGATGCCAGTCGTGCAAACACCGTTTTATGACGATTGTGTCCAGAATTTCAGTTCATTTTATACTTTTCTTTTTATTGAACCTTTTTTGGATATATTTTGATAAATGCACGTAGTCCAGCTGTGATTGGATAGAAGTGAAATTCATATCCTGAAAAGAGTGTACAGTACCTCTCAAGAGATCAGAACTGAACCTTGCAGAAAGTAAAGTGCGTGCAGCCGTCTAGATGAGCCTCAAAGTCCCGCATCGTCCCCTTGGTTCGCAAGGCCTCGTTTGCTCCGCCCAAGGCTTGGGTTGCATGGGTATGACTGCATTCTACGGCAACTTTGACCGTGCCGCCCAAGAAGCCGAGTCCCTTCGCACTATCGCCAAGGCACTCGAGGTCGGCATTAATTTGCTCGACACTGCGTGGATCTACCAGTCCTTTGGCGCTGGCGGCGGAGGCAACTTCACCAACGAAGAGCTGATTGGAAAAGCCATCAAGCAACACGGCCGGGACAAGTTTGTGATTGCTACGAAGTTTGGACTTATCCCAGCCACGAATGGCCTTGCCGTTTCCGGGGCGGAAAGCACGATCCGATCGCAGCTGGCTGAGTCCCTCGACCGTCTCGGAACCGACTACATCGACTTGTACTATATGCATCGCATGGACCCCACCATTCCCATCGAAGACACAATGACCGTGCTCAAATCTCTGGTTGAGGAAGGCAAGATCAAGTACGTCGGGTTGAGCGAATGCACCCCGAGCGAACTCCGTCGCGCGCACGCTGTACACCCCATCACGGCCATCCAAATGGAGTGGTCGCTCCAATCGCGCGACTTGGAAGCCGAAGTCGTCCCGGCCGCCCGCGAACTGGGCGTTGGCATTGTGCCGTACTCGCCGCTCTGCCGTGGCTTTCTCGCCGCCATCGATGCTTTTGACCAGCTTGAAGACAACGACCGCCGCCGGACGCTGCCTCGTTTCAACAACGATACACTGGCGCAAAGTCAAGCGAAAGTTGCCCGCTTTTTCGACATCGCCAAGGCCAAACACGTCACGCCCGCCCAGTTGGCCCTCGCGTGGGTCCATGCCCAGGGCGACGATGTGTTTCCCATACCTGGTACCAAATCGTCGACTCGAATGGTTGAAAATGCCGCGGCCGTGGCTCTGTCCACTCAATTGACCAAAGGCGACCTGGCAGAAGTGGCCGCGGCCGCCGAAGCCATCAATGAAGATCGCCATTTCCCGTCGAGTACCTCGAGCTCATTCAATTCGCGAATGGCGAAGTCGTAATTTTTCGTCAATGTTAGCCCGTGTTGTCGCATGTCCTCGAGAGACCCGTCGAGCCCCATCGACTTGACTGTGAGGAATTGAATTTTGCCATTGGAGCAACTTTCTTGAACGGCCGTCGCGCCTGTGCGCTTGCTGCATGCGTCAACGAAAGAGGCGCTGCAGCCCAAGCGGCATCAGGCAGGACAACTCAAAATGACGCCTGTCGAGGGACGTTTCGATGGCAACGCAGACGTAGACCAAGCTACACCGATCGCCTGGTAGTGTCCCAGGTCGGGCCATTTGGACTAGCACGAGGTCGACGTAGTGGAAACAACAGTGCCGTTCATTCAGAATTGTATTCTCCTACTAGTCGAGAGGTGTGGCGACCGTGAGGAGGTGCTTGGCAAAGCCTCTTACGCGACGATAGCTTCCCAACAACTCGCGTACACATCGTCGGCCGAGTTGAACATCCACTGCCACTGAAACGTGTACTTGCCGGGGGCAATGTCCTTCTCGAGTTGGAAGCACATGGTGCACAGGGCGCGACCTTTGTCTTCACAAAACCTGGGGCAGTGCTGGAAGCCCTTGTAGTCGACTTGGCCACGTACGTGCGCACCGTTGCCGTGGTGGTACTCGACCGGCCACTCCCGCAGCTCTGGGTCCGTCACGTTGGTGGCATCCACCGGCCACGCCGCCGAACGAAAGATGCGAACGCCCGTATCGGGAATGAACTCGTTCGTGCACACGTCCGCAACATGGTTCTTTGGGGGATATGCTAAGCATACCTTTTGACCGGGAGTGTACTTGGCCATGCGGGATCCAAGGGCGTCATATGCCCCAGCAGCGGGGCACTGGCACGTCCGCTTGGCCAGGGAAGGACGAAAGTCAAACCCCGTGTCGACGCCGAAACCTTCCTGCGCCTGGCGAACTCCGCATCGAGCATATCCCGAACACGCCGCCTTGTTCCAGTAGAGCTGGTTCGCAGGAACTTGAATGTCATAGTTGGTACATTCTGCAGCACAACGTCATGAGGATGGAGGGAAAGGATGCATGTACCGAGCCACGAGTGCGCAAGGACGACGGCAGGGAGGAGAGCGACAAGCTGCGAACGCATGGTGCCAAGTCTGTTGCGAAAGGAACAATGAGGGTCAAGTCTCTTCAAGAGCGCGACAGGATAGTTCAACGTGAAGGCGCTGGGCAGTCGGAACGCGGGGATATGTCAGAAGCATGACAACGCACTTGCCGGGTGGCGCCATGTAATAACCTTTATCATGGCGTTATGCGTGACTCGCATGAAGCAGAAAATCTCGACGTCGAGGACAGCGGTAAAGTCAACACCTCACGCGCCATGGATGCGGTGTGTTCTCGACACGCGTGAGACAACGGCGCGACCAAGAGTTGAACCAATTGACATCGGTGGCAGTCACCTGTCCTCGTATTCCGGTCAGTTGAGTGCGGAGGCAGGACCTTTCCACCACATGGCCTCGGCGCCGCCGAACGCGCTCATCCTTAGTGGCGTTTTATTTTATTCAATTGTTCCACGTGGTCAAATTAAAAAGCAGTGAAATTTACTTCGAATACAAACATAAAGATACTAAATGTATAATTAATATAATAGTCCAGTGTGAATTTCCGGATAATGTACAACCCACCTTCAGAAGTGATTCGGGCGAAGCGAGCAGAAAAGGCGGTGGGTGCACCGGCGACGCGATGAACTACCTCTCCTTGTAAATTGTCTATCGCTCCATCCAATTCGGGGCCTTGCGACTGCTGATGTGACATGTGTCGTGCTCTAGGCGGCGCTCCAACTCGATCTCATCGGCGAACGAAGCAGGGGTGAACCCATCCTTGCGCAGCATCTATTCCAATACAAACTCGGGCCAACGTGCCCTTGTCTTCACAGTCCAAGTTCCAGAACGTGGTCCCCTTGGGCTCGACCTGCGCGCTAGAAATGTCACGAGTGCGCAGGGCCAGACTGGTGCCATTGTCAAAGGGTTCCGACCAGTCAAAGGCGGCAAGCGCGGGTTCATCGAGGTCTATCATCACTATCAACACCGATTAATACTTATCGTTCATCGGGCGTATGTAGCTCACGGGTCGCGTCAAAGAAAAGGATATCCTGATGCAAATGCACACATCCAAGGTTGACGACATGTTGTTCGATGCGATCGTTGAACTGGCCGGGAGTCTCCAGTCCGATCTGTCGGCATGGCCACTGCGATTGGAATTTCGGCGGGAGCCTGAGGTGCGTGCAGTCATGTTTCCATGTGCTCACTTACCATGGGCTCCACAGGAAGTTGAAGTCAAGCCCAAGACACAATCGTTTACGCGCTTTTTGCGCAGTACCAGCATGTCTCTAGCTGGCTTTTCGACCCCTGCTCCCGCGCCTTCCAATGCAGCTGTGCCTGCTTCCGCACCTATTGTGGCGGCACAGGACGGAACGTTCCAGGACAAACTGAACTACTTTCGCGGGTTCTTTAAGGATCGCCTCCCAACGTCCACCGACGCGAAGCGTGCCAAGCTCGCGATTCCTCCACTTCCGTCGGAGGACCTCGTCAACGAAATGTACCGCGACTTGCTCGTCAAGCGGAACGTGCCCGACGACGTGCTGGACGAACTCGTTCGGATCGAACAGCTCGACCAAAAGTGGCAAATCGTGTGGTCGTACGTAGCCTTGACGTGAACTCTCCTTATCTGGTTGCTCCAGGGCGAAGCAAAACGAAAACAACGACAACCACGTGTACATTGCGGATGCCATCAAACTCGCGGAAGCCCTCGTCGAGCTCAACTGGGACAACCGCGGCCTCCAAGTTCTCGAAACGTTGCAGCGTAAGATTGCGGCGGGAACTCCCGAGTGGACGGACCAGTTTATCGTGTCATACGGTCTGGACTACCTCGCGATGAAGATGCCCGAGCCATCGCCGTATTCCATCGAGCATTTTTACAAAAACGTACGTCCCAAGCGTCGTGGCTGCCGAGTGGAGTTGCCGCGTTTGGGTGGCTTCGTGGCTTTTTTGACTGCCTCGCTTTTTTGTTCCTCGCGTGCTCGTTCGTTGGTGCAGCTGGTGCGCCATCGGACGAGGATGCACACTGCTGCCTCGTCGTTCCCAGCGTTTTGAACCTGTCGGACGCAATGGTGGTGCATCGGTCCTGACATTGAATCTAGTTTGATCGGGCGTCGCGGTTTTGCGAAGTGATGTTGAAGATTTTGCTCTCATTGTCCCATTTCGCGAGCGGTATCGATGCGATCACGCAGACACTTGGCCTCGTCGATCGTCTCGCGCTGTGTTTCCACACGGACAACGCCGACGTGAAGCGCACGACGCTGCAAGTCCTCGGGATCATTTGCTACAACAGCGCCGAGGGCCATGCCGCCGTCGTCCACAGTTTTGGCAACTACCAGGAAGTAAAAGGGGAGCGCGTGAGGTCGGCTAGGCTTGGACAAATTGTCTGATCGAGGCTCATGGGACGTTCTATAGATTCACGTGCCTTCGGGACGCGCTCAGGTCGACTCGATACAACTTGCTCTTCAAAGAAGACGTCCTGAGTTTCATCAACATCCTCGTGAACAAAGGGCTGCGTGTCGAGTCCCGCGTGGCCATTCGCCAAGACTTCATGACGCTCGGTATTGGCGAATACTTTGAAGAGATTCGAACCAAGTCCAACAACATGTACAAGCAAGCGGCCAAAGTCAAAAAGAAGAATGCGAAAACGAAACCTGCTAAGTCGCCATCCCAACCGACTCCGAAATCGTCTACCTCGACCGCGCCTTCGCTGCCCGTGCCACCGCTGGCCCTCACACGATCCAACAGCACTATTTCCGACTATACTACCCCTCATCACGATGCCCACGGTACAGCGCAAGTGAACACGATCAAAGAAGGGAGCGCCAGTGCACCAGACGTCCATCCGGTCGAGCCATTGATAGTCCTTCCCGACATTCCAAAACCTACAGGGAATGCCAAGACGTCGTTCGATGTTCCCGAACCTCTGCTCGTGTTTGATGCAGCGCCTGTCGCACAAGCGAGTAGCGGGGCGGCATGCCCTAACAAGTCTCCGTTGGTCGATGGTGCATTCTTGTCAAGCTTTCCCCGGCCATCGCTACCCCCCCTCGACGTCATTCATGATGAAGATGACGATGACATGCATGACGAGGACGTTTGCAGCGTCGACGACGACGACGAGTCGCCGATCCAGCTCCAAATCAGAGAACAACTGGACAACGTGGAAAAGCAGATTGAAGTGTTTGAGCTGTTTATGGCGGATGATCGAAAAGACACGCTGTATGGGAGCACCGATTTGAGTTCAATGGAGTCAGTGATGCGGTCGCTCATGGAGCGGGTGAACGTGGATGAGTTTCTCCGGGACTGCTTGCTCTCCATCTTGCAACAACTGCTCTTCATCCCGTCCGAGACTGTGCTGGGCAAGGAAATGTGGGCCATGGCGGAGCGTGTGACGAAAGATATCGCGCTCCTGTCGCCCGTCGAAGAAGTCCGGCAGTACGAACTTAGCTTCCAGGACCGCAAGAAGCTCATGCAAGCCCGTGACAAATTTTCGGCCTTCTTGGCGGAGCACGAACCTGCCGACCTCCATGTCATGCACATCGGACATCCCATTGCCCTCATGGAAAATCGCATCAACAACTCGGACGACTTGCTATCCGACACTGACATGGACACGGACTCGACGTCGGAAGAAGACAACCAGAGCGAATTGGAAGACGACGAGATTTCACAACGACTAGATGCATTCCGGAAGCTGCGCAAGATGGGCATGCCCGTCGAACAGCTGCAGCTCAAGATGCAGCTGGAAAACCTCGACATCGCCTGGCTGGACAAGTACAAGCTGAAGAAGAGCACCAAGCAAGCGCAAGTCATGGTCAAGGACCACGACGACTATCAAAAGTATTGCAAATTGCTCAGCATGGGGATGCCACTCGCGCACGTTCAAATGAAGGTGGGCGCCGAAAACCCAGCGCTGGACGGCAACTTGCTGGCTACGCCGGAGAAAATGATTCCTCTGGACGGCGCGGTAAGTCACTGTATCTACGATGCCGTAGCGACGAAGGCGCTCCAATGCCGTTGTGGTTTTTGCAGGAAGAAGAGATGGAAGCAGCAGCCCCAGCCGGTGTGCGCGCCGACGAGTGTCCTGCGCTGGCCAAGTTCTTCAAATTGAAGAAAATGGGCATGCCGCCTCCGCAGATTCAGATGAAGATGCAAGCAGAGGGGTTCAATGGCGATTTGCTCTTGGCACCGGAGACTCTCGTCGATGACGATGGCCAAAAGGTTGTCATGTTGGCGCCAGTCGACGAGGCAGCACCTCCTGGTATCCGTGCGGATGCGAGTCCTGCACTGACCAAATTTTTCAAACTCAAGAAGATGGGTATGCCCCAGCCGCAAATCGAACTCAAAATGCAAGCGGAGGGTTTCGACAGCGACTTGCTGTCCGCACCCGAGACAATCGTGGACGAAGACGGAAAAAAAGTTGTCCTTCCGGCCCCAGTTCCTGCTGGAATCCGCGCCGACGCATGTCCCTCTCTGGTCAAGTTTTACAAGCTGCAAAAAATGGGCATGCCTCCACCTCAAATTCAATTGAAAATGGAGGCCGAGGGTTTTGACCCATCGTTGCTCTTGGCGCCAGAAACCCTCGTTGATGATGACGGCAAGAAGTTTATCGCGCCGTCGGCTGGTGTCCGCGCCGACGCATGCGCCGCCTTAGCCAAGTTTTTTAAGCTCAAAAAGATGGGCATGCCCGCAGCGCAGATTCAGCTCAAGATGCAGTCGGAAGGTTTCGATCCAGCGTTGATTGATGCCCCCGATACCATCGTGAACGATGACGGTAAAGTCCCCAAGGCACCGAGCGATATGGTCGCAGCCAAGGACCACCCGACATATGCCAAATACTTTAAGCTGATGAAAATGGGTACGTTTTCATCGAGGGTAGACGAAGGTAGGTTACGGCGTGTCTTTGTAGGCATGCCAATGGTGCAAATTCAACTCAAAGTGTCAAGCGAAGGGCTAGACCCTGCAATTCTCGACACGCCGGACGCCTTGCTGCCCGAAGACTTGTCCAACCAAGCAGATGCCTCCAAGAAGGACGCTGCGCCGAAAATGGTGCGCGTCGCCGACCACCCGAGTTACGCCAAGTACTTTAAGCTGCAGAAGATGGGCATGCCTCCACCACAAATCCAGCTCAAGATGAAAGCGGAAGGATTGGACTCCGACTTGTTGGACTCGCCGGACAAAGAAATTCCCGAAGTCGCCGAACCCGCTGGCCCTGTCTTGGTCAAGGACCATCCCGAGTATAGCAAATACTTGAAACTGCAGAAAATGGGCATGCCGCCACCACAACTTGAACTCAAAATGAACGCGGAAGGGCTCGACTTTGCCCTGTTGGCCACTCCAGATGCCGAGGTCCCAGGCAAGGCGACACCTGTGACCAAAGACGAAACCAAACCTTCGATTGGCGGCGCCGTCAACGCTCTTAAGTTTGTCGCCAAGATGAAGGCAAAGCCCAAGCTGCGCAACTTGTACTGGGAGCCCGTGCACGCTGTAGTGAAAGAAACGTCGTTGTGGGCCAACCTTGAGTACGAATTCCTTGGGTGATTGGATTGCTCGCACCTCACCCCACCCATCCTTGTCATCGTAGCATCACAAGCGAAGGCGAGAACACCGAATCCAAGCACTTGCACGACCTCGTCACGCTGTTTGCCAGTGCGCCGCCACCGACAAAAGAAAAATCAGCGAAAAAACCCACGATGAAGAAAAAGGCGGCGACGCGTGTTGGGTTGATCGAAGTCAAGCGCGCCAACAACATCGGTATCCACCACATCCCTCGCTTGAACAGTTGAGTCCAAGGCATGAATTTGGTGGCGTAGGTATCATGCTGGCTCGGTTCCGGCTGCCTTACGCTGAGATCAAGCGAGCAATACTCGAAATTGACCGGGATATTCTGTCGAGCGAAAAGGTCGCAGCGTTGATTCAGTTTGCGCCGGAAGGGGACGAACTCGACACAGTGAAAGCGTACGAACGGCTGCTGTCCACAATTCTCGAGTTGTTGGATTCAATATCGTGACGATGGGGTGTAGGTATACCGGCGATCCCAAGCTTCTCGGTGACGCAGAGCAGTATTTTGCCGAAATCGCAGGAATTCCGCGGTTCCAAACGCGGCTGCAGTCGCTGCTGGCCACCATGCAGTTTGATTCGAATGTCGACGTATGGAAAAAAGGTTGACATCGCTCATGGAAACTTCACCGTCTTGTGGCAGGAGCAACGCCGGCTCATCACGAGCGTCGTTTCGACGTGCAAAGACTTGAAGAACAACGAAGCCATTCCGCAAATCCTCAAGATCGTGTTGCAACTGGGAAATGCTCTGAACGAAGGCACGACTCGAGGTGCGTTCGGGGCCGCTCGAGACCGTTCCTGACGTTTGGCACAGGGTCGGCGTCGGGTTTCAAGTTGAGCATTTTGCTCAAACTCGTCCAAGTCAAGGCCGCCGACAACAGCATGACATTGCTCAACTATTTGGCCAAGATCTTACGGGACAAGGAATCGGACTGGCTCAACTTTATCGACGCGATACCGTCCATCCAAGAAGCGAGTCGCGTTACGCACCAGGTGCTGAAAGCGGGCGAAGCATCCATTCGAAAGGCCGCCGACTTGGTCGTGCACGAGCTGGAACTGCACCGAAAACTGCCCGAAATTTTGGACAGCGACAAGTTTCAGGACGTTGTTGGCCCGGTACGCTTGTCCACGTACTCGATCCCGCCAACATCGTCGTAGTTTGCCAACAAAGCTCAAGACATCTCCCAAGCGATTGCGTCGGAATTTGAAGCGATGCAAGCTGCCTTTAGCGACTGCGTCCGGTGGTTTGGCGAAGACCCGGACGCGGCCGGGATGGGGCCCGACTCGTTTTTTTCAATTTTCCTCAGCTTTGCGCAAATGCTGCAAGTGGCCGATCGCGACAACGAGCGCAAACGCATCGCCGAAGAACGCCGGGTCGACATGGCTAGCCATCCAGCGGTGCTCATGCTCGTGTTGGTGTGTAGGTCCGCCGCGAGGCCGAGACGAAGAAGCGGATGGAAATGCTGGCCTCGTCCAAGCAGCAGAAAACGAGTCTCGAGTTCAATTCGCTCAAAGCGGGCGACGCTCACGCGATCGTCAAGAAAATCCGAGGCAAGCGCACCGAGGAAAAGCGAAAAGAGTTGGTCGAGCAAGGGTTCGACCACACCAACACGGATTCGTTTTGTTCGTCCTCGAGCGTCGACAAGAAAAAGGGAAAACTGGCGGGCGAGTCGGGCCCGATTGCAGTGGACACGCAGTCCATTGCGGCATGAGCGCGCGCCACCAACAGCGCAACGATCCAACCGTAACTATTTAATCCACTGGTGGTTTGTGGCGGGGCTCCAGCAAGTGGGGTGAAGTGGAGGATGGTATGAGGGGCGACCACCACGCGGCATGATCTCTGTCGGGACCACGCGGACAGGACCGAATCGACCTACCACGGCCTCGAACTCTTCACGAGAACACTTGTGACGATCTCGACTCGGGCGGCGCACGACAATCCGCTGAGAACGTGTGTCGTCGTGGATCGTGGTGGGGATATGTTCGGCGGTGGCGGCAACGCATCCCACTTTCTGCGCACGTGGTCCCACTGATATCTCGAGGGCGACGCCAATCCCCGCGACAACCAAGGAGGCGACTTCCTCGTCTGACCGACTCGATAGCATGGACAAAGGCTTGCCATCCATCGTCCTTGCATTCTGCGCGCCGAGTTGTTGTCGAGGCGAGACAGCAGCGTCCCCTCGATCCTTGAACAATTGGGTGTCATGTCGTATCGTTTGTTCCATTCGATTCTTCGGACTTTATACGAATGGGCGCGTTCCTGTGTGGCGTGTGCGCGCAGGGACGTCCAAAGGATCGCAAACTCGCGGGTGCACCGGCCACGAGGCGACAGAGGTGCTTCCGAGCGACCCCCGGTGGAAGCTGCCTCCCACGCCGCCGCCCCCCTCTCGGTGCACAAAAACGCCCCTGCCCGAACCTGGCGACTTTTTTCATTCATGTGTCGTCGAATCGCCCAATCGGGCACGACATGGCCACGACCGGCGACATCGCACGCCCGCGTTTCAACGACAAAATCGCACATGATCGTGGGGGTCGATCACTTTGAAACACTTTCAGGAGCGTCGACGTGAGGTTCGTCATGCGCCTTGCTCATGTGCTGTACGCTGTCTTGGTGCTGACGTCGTTTGCGACGGCCGAGTTGGGTGCGGTCTCCGGTGGGTTGGACCGCCATGTGACCACTGCTGGTGCCTCGCACGACGACGATCGCGCCGCCGCCGTCGAGCCCGTGCGACGCAACAAGCACCGCCATGCGCAACCGTATCGTTCCACCCGCGCCAACGGCTCGCGATCCAAGCAGCTTCCCGACCGCCGTGGCAACAACCCCACGCGTGCCAACGAGAACCGACCTCGCAACATTGCGCAGCCGTACCGTGGAAACCGATCGCCACCACAACGTCGAAGTGCCACCCCACGAGCGCAGGGACAGCATCGTGGCCGACCCACGCCGTACCGTAGCGCCTCCCGCCGCGAATCGTTTGAACTTGGGGGACATGGCCGCCGTCCCGCCAAGAAAGAGTTTAAAAAGTTTGCCAAGAAGGTGGGCAAAGTGGCCAAGAAGGGGGTAAAAGTCGTCGGGAAGGCCGCGGCTGTGGTTGGCAAGGTGCCTGGCCTTCAGTTCGTCCCCGGTCCCATCGGCTTAATCGCCAAGGGAGCGCAAGTGATCAACACGCTTCAAAACGCCAAGGGCAAGGGTGGCTTGTTGCGCGCGGGGCTGAGTCTGGCTGGCCAGGGTGCATTGGGGGCCAAAGCCCAAATGATTGCCGGTCGCGTGAACCAGGTCAAGGCCGTGTACGACGCCCGAAAGAATCCCCGTGCCTTGATCGGGGCTGGCCTGAACTTGGCCGGCAGTGGCATGCTCGGGAAGGGTGCGCAATCGTTTGCCGGCAAAGCGCAAGGCGTGCTGAACAAGGTGGACAAGGTCAAGGCTGTGTACGATGCCCGAAAGAACCCTCAAGCGTTTGCAAATGCCGCGCTCGGGTTGGGTGCGAGCGGGATGCTGGGCAAGAATGTGGCGACCATCGCCCAGAAGGGCCAAAAGGTCATGCACCGCGTCGAGCAGGTGCAAAACATTTACAAGAACCGCAAGGACCCCCGCGCTGCGATCGGCGGCGTTCTTGACATGGCCCAGGACGGTGCATTCGGCAAGCGCGGTGTCGCGCTCGCTGCCAAGGGCCAGCACATCGTGAAGCGCTTCGACCAAGCCAAAGCCATCTACGACAACCGCAGAGACCCTCGCGCGGCGGCAGGCGCTGTTTTGGACATGGCGCAGGACGGCGCGTTCGGCCAGCGCGGCGTCCAGCTAGCTGCCAAGGGGCAGCAGATTGTGAAGCGGTACGACCAAGTCAAGGACATTTACGACAACCGAAAGAATGTCCCGAAAGCGTTGCAAAAGACATGGGACTTCGCCAAGGACGGCGGCTTTGGCGCCGGCGCGCAACGTGCTGCCAACAACGCCGAACAACGTGCCAAGGATGCCGCCAACAGACTCGGCCACCGCGTCGAGCAAAATGTGAATCGCGTGCTGCATCGCCAGGCGTCCCCCCGCGCGCAGCCCGCGTCCCGACGCCGCGGATTGTAGTGCTATATGTGTCCAGTGATCTCCATGACCATTCCAACGTTGTGTCGCCGTCTTTACGTTGAGCACCGACATTGTGCGTGGGTAGAATCGATCCATCACATGGACGACCAAATGCCAAATCGACCTCCACAACGCGGGCAGCACTTTTCGCAGATCACTTTCAAACACCAGCATTGCATGCTCAGGAGCGCAGAGCGACGGCGGCCGTTGCCATCTCGCGTGCCGTCATGCAGTGGACGAATGGGTCGTTTGATCACACTCGACATCCTTGACGCCACCGGTGCGGCTCAATATGTCCGTCGCGTTGAGATCTTTCGGGCAAGGACTTGGACTTGGCGCTCGTAGCTCAGTTTGGAGTCCTTGTGAATTGGGCCTAGACGCCGGCGACGTGAAGCCATGGACGTGCCGGCCATGAAGACGTACCCCATGATGTTGGTGTTTGTTCACCATGCGGGTGAAGAAGCGCAGTCGGTCCGTTGGTCGGTTGCGTGGACCCTTGGACGATTGCAAGGTTGTTCTTGTCGTTGGTGTGCGAGCCCATGGCCCCGATGATCGTCTTGACCAGGGATGCGCACGGGGCCGCAGGTGGCACGGCGCATGCGCTCCCTAGCAGTTCTTGACGGCCTGAAGGCCTCTCTTGCAGTCCGCGCCCCTTGCCGTCCGGCTTGGCACACTTGAACGGAGTTTCTCCCGTTCCCCAATTGCCATTTACACCTATGCATGCAATCCATTGTGCGTCGGAGGCCACCCGATCCCATGAGAAACACCATCGTCCCCATGATATGCGCATCATGACCATCCGAGTCGGTGGACTTGGTGTAAGGATCTTACCAGCCGACTACGGCTGGTAAGATCATTTCAACATTTTGAGGCGTCAACCATCGCAGCTGCTCGTAGGAGGTACGGTGGCGTCGACCTGTCGACTGCACCGCTGCGTGTGCGACTTTCCTCCGACGATACCCAAATCTACCCAACAGTTCTGAGCGGTGATGGATCCGCGCCTCCATGTCTTGCGCAGGTCCTGGACGGCACTTCCAACGCGTTGAGCTCCATGCACACGATGTGAATCGAGCATACAGACGAGTGCGAAATCTGTGTTAAGTTTGGCGCGACGTGCGCCACGTTACGCGGAAGGCAAGGAAGTCCACAGATACCCCTCACGCTGCTCTGCAAACTGTCGTTGATTGCACCGATCCAGAAGGTGTGCCCGCGTCCGTCCAATTGTACCCCAGGCCGCCAGTGAGAGATGGTTAGAGTGGGCAGTATGCAATCCCCTGCGAGAGACCACTGCAATGGCAAAGGCTAGACGTGTTTGCCCATCGAGGAAGGACGCGTAACTTTGCCGCGAGGACGCGGAAACAGCGTGATCTTCCCGGTGTGGTCGACCAGTATCACACAAAGTCCTCACACCCCGGCGATGAGGACCGTATCAAGTCAAGTCCCCGTGTGATCATGCCACGATGGCGCAGAAGAAGGCTAGACCTCGTGCGCGCAGTGCAGGGGAAAGGCCGCTTCCATACTCGTGTCTACTTGCGCGCCACGACGGCACGAGCGCCATCGATCGGCATGCTCATCCCGTTCTGGTGGCCACGTCTGTCCTAATGCAAGTGCTGCTGCTTTCTTGTAGTAGTTACTAGTAGTACCCAAGCACTGGATTTGTAGTACGTATGTGGCCATCACGTTCACCAAAGTCTGCAGGACCATCGTCGGCGGCGTTTCCGTTGTCATGGCGCGACGCTTGGAGGCCATGTTGTTCGTAGACTGCAAGGCCGTCGGGATCTGCATGTCCGATGCACACAAGGTCGACTACACGTTCGTTGGTGGCGCGCAGCCCCTCCCTCGTCCCGTCTTCGTCAACAGCCAAGTGTACTAAACGCATAAGTCATCGAGGACGAGTCGTAATCACATGCATTCGTGGGCACGATATGTACCAGCGGCAAAGGCACACAGCGCCAGCGATCTCTCCCACGGGAGCGACTAGGAACAATCGACGGCTTGATTCGTCCATTTGTTAGCATACGAATCAAAGCGAAACAACCGTCCTACTGTGCAGTCCAACTCCCCTTGTCCCTCGACATCCATGGGGAACTGTCGCGACGAGTCGCGACGATCCACTTTTGAACTTCGCCGCGACCACAAAGTGTGCCATGAGCTGCTGTCCCCCCACGTCGCTGCCCCCCATGCCCACCACGAGCGCCAAGGAATCGATGCTGATGGGCACGACCAACGTCTTTTTCTACGACAACCCGGCGTCGGACCGGTGCGTGCTGGTGTTTCCCGATGTGTTTGGCGTCGACAGCGGACGCACCAAGGACAATTGCATCCGCCTCAGCGCGTTGTACAAAGTCGTGTTGATCGAGATGAATGCCGCCAACGATTTTCCCCTTGCCGAGCAGGACACTCCATGGCCGTGGCCCGTCGAGTGGATCCGCAAATTGGTGCTGCAAGTCCGAATCATCAAGTGGGCCCGCGCGCGGCCGTTCGACAAACTCCAGCCCAAGATCGACCACGTCGTCACTTACATGAAAACCCACCACAACGTGGCCAAATTCGGTGCGATGGGATATTGCTGGGGCGCGTGGGTCGTGGCCAAGTGCAGCACTTTGCCTGACACGCCCCTTGCATGCGGCATCTCGTTCCACCCGAGCTGGCGCGTCGAGGATGTCTCGACGGGGTGGGGAAAAGCTGCCAAGTTGGGCGACTTGATCCGCGTTCCCCAACTCGTCTTGTCAGCCGGAGACGACCCGGCCTTCGTCAAACCTGGCAACAGCGTCGACATGTCGTTGCAGTCCAAGCCGTTTGAGAGCAAGTTGCGCGAGTTTTCAACCATGACGCACGGGTGGGTGAACCGCGGCGACATGACCATTCCTGAAGTCGCCCAAGGTGTCCGCGAAGCGTGGGACGACGAAGCGCTGCCATTCCTCAAGCTGCATCTTGGTTGAGCGCGCGTCGACACTGTCGTAGAAGTTATAGAATTCAAACGTACTGTTATACCTGCATCGTCTCTGCACAAAAGAGCGAATTCTCGATGCAAAGGTACCGACACAACGGTAAAGAATGCGCGGACGATTCCTCGTATCTGCGGCTGCTACAGGAATTGCTGTGGATTCTTGCGACATCAAGTGCCAGATGCAGTTGCCGCTTGTGTGTAGGTAGCAAGTCGTTCGAAGGGGAGAGTGCGCGAGATGGAACGCATAGTGACTTGGTTGATCAATCGATGACCTGCATGGGCCCCGCTGTCCGAAGGGTGGAATCTCGATCTCCCGCTTGGCGAAACGCGGAGGGATGGGCGGCGCGCCATCGCAGCCGAGCCATTCCAAGCACGGACTTGAATGGAATCTATACATGTTGGAGACGTCACTGCAGCGAGTCGTTGCAGTGATTGAATGCCAAAAACTCCCCGTAGTCATCGTACCGATTGCGGTCCATGGATGCCGTGGCAATCTCTTTCATGTCGTTGTCTCTAAAATGCACGGCCGCGGCATTTTCACAATCCGGGGCGACGATTTGGCGCCGGGAAGAGTAAACATATCCTGGGCGTGGATCTGTGCAAGCGCCAACTGTGACGTACTTGGCCTTGGCGGCGTCCAGTTTGTTTTCACGATCGAATGTATCAAGGGTCGTGCGATTGTTACTTGGGGACGACGGAAATCCTTGCCCATGGTGTGAGGAATGGAACCACTTTGCATGTGACAAGGAAAAGTGCCGTCCGCCGTGTGAAACAAAATTGAGTTTGACGAGCAGGAGCGCATTCGATTGCGTTGTGTGCAGGGTGGTCGGCTTCAAGTGGCGGAACAACACAGAGTGTGCCCCATCCTTTTTCGGACCGCTCGTGGTGTCAATGAGGCAAATGTCGTCTCGATGCGGGCCATGACTTCTTCATGCATCGTAGCCCGAGTTGTCTTCGAGAGAGATAGTACGTAGTGGGGAGCGAGGTCCACGTCGTAACTCGTTCATACTGGACGGCATGGATCGCTGACGCTATACGAGTTTGTAGGATAGGTCGATCGAGATCACTTGGAGCTCGAATAAGTGCTAGCAGGTATGTTCACGGCAGTGGTAAGCGTAGGCAAGGCACGCCATTCCCGGAAACGCTTGGACGCCACCCCGAGTGTGTGATATTCACTGCTTCTGTTTGGTGCTGGCACGGCTGCAGCGACTGTACCGTTCAGCATGCATTCACACATGATCGCTTTTACCAGTCGTAGGCTGCGACCGAGGACCCTCGATTTTGAAGGAAGCATGAACAAGCCCAAAGTCAAGACATTCTTCAAGGGTGAGGCAGCGGTGACCTCCTTGCTTCAGCATTGCGAAGCATGTCCGCACCGTTTTGTCCATGTCGTCCATGGATCGTGGACGGCACCAGCGTGTGTGTCATCCAGAATGATGTGTGAAAAACAAACGCGTGGGTCCTGCATAAATTGATATCCAAATTAGATAGGTTATCAATTTAAAGCGGTTATAGTGTACAGGATGAAAATTGCCTGGTATCTTTACATTAGGTTTCGGGGTCCGACAAGTCATTGACAGAGAATATGGATTTATACAGTATACCGGGTTGGTCAACAGCATTAAAACTCCTATATAAATATGTCTTTATTAAAAATACGAATTTTCAATCGTTGCCAGGTGAAACCGTCGTTATTGCGAAATCCGACGACAATGCTGGCACTTGTTGTGGTGACGGCGATGATGGTGATGTCGATAACCTCTGCTGCCAAGTACAGTCAATCGGAATTTGGTGATCAAGACTTGTGGGTGTTCAGTGCTTTGTGGGCACCACACGCATGCACGACACGCGAGTTCTCAAACGCGGCACTGTGCAAATCGCCCACGCCTTACATGCGGGCTTCACTTGTCGCAAGCACCCTCGAGCCCACGCACACGGACGGCACGCCTCAAGCAGGCATGTGTCGGTACGAATACGGAGAATTCCTTCCATCGAGTATCGCGGCCGCGGGCGGCGCCAACACATTGCAGCAGTACTGGCCGTTTCTCCACACCACGGACGTGTCGAAGATGTGGGATGGCGGGTTGTCTGGGACGACGCCGACATTCGACTGGACGTGCAGCGGCATGCACCAGGTACAATACCTTGAAGCGATCGTCGAGCTTGGCACGAAGGTGAGCAGTGAGAATCTGCCGTTCATCTCTGCACATGTCGGTCATGAAGTCAAAACCTCTGCTGTCCGAGGGCTTTTCCAAACGTATCTCGGGTGGAGCGATGTCGTCCTGCGATGCGATGAGAACGCTTCGCTCGATAAAGTGATGGTGTGCTTTTCCAAGATTATGAACGCCACTACAAGCCCAGGCTATGACCCGTATCACGGCCCTGGCGCCGCCATTCGATGCCCACACGCCATTCGAAATCAGGACAATTGCCACACCGACAAGGTTCGCTTCGTAGCCTTCCTTGTCGATGCGTTGGTATAACTGGTAAAGCAAACGACTGAGCCCCCTGCTTCGTTAGCCCTGCCCTTCTCTTTTTATGTGTGTGTTCCATGAAAAATCCGCCAACTTCTAACCCGAACGGCAAAGCGTCGTTGGTACCAGTCAGTGCAGGCTTCAATGCATCCTCTGAATCAACCACGACAGTATCCTATATGGCTCTTGTCCCTAGCCTGCGACGCTCTTGGTTGCATCTGTGGCGGACGCTGATGCCTTCAACCACCGGTAGCACCCCCATTAAGCGACAGCACATGACGCCATGCGAGCGCACTTGTGGCTTCAAGCTGGAGCAAGTGAATGCTTCTCACGCTACGGCGCTCGCGATAGTTTACTCGGTGGTGATGGGTGTTGAAGTTTCCCGCGCTCACGAAGACAAGGCATCCGGAAACGAAGAACTAGGTGACAGAAAGGTCATGGCCAAGATTAGATCACGACTTCAAAAAGCCCTACATTTCGTAAATGAGCCTCTGAATGGCACATGACTTGAATTCACAGGAAAGATGCTGCCTTTTGAATAGGAACAGGGTTATATCTTCAGAGATAGTCTCTCTGATTCACAACATTGAAAAGAGGAAGAGACCCACTTATTTCCAAATTGACTCGGTCCATTCTCAAGAGTCGATCATTGATCAAAAGCTTGGAAGATGAAAAATATAATTC